CCTCTTACACGTCTCAGGTCATGTCGCTGCAGCTCCGGTGGAAATAATAAGATATAAACCACGAGGTTGTTATTTGCATAGAAATAGCATGGAGCCCCAGGCAGCAAGGGAGAAGGACACAGGGATCATTTGTCTAAAATTTTAATGAAAACTTTTGCTGAGGCAGAGATTTTTTTGAAACTTTCTTTCTCCCTGCTTTTCTCCTCCCCTCCCCACCCCCAACCTCCCCATCACTGATTTGACTTAACATGGTTCAATTTGAAGAGAAAGGGTTGACACACCACATATCATACTTCTGTAATACAGCAACATGTAAATTGTTTGTTCCTTTAATAGATATGAAGCTGGAGAGACACACATTCCCAACTTAATACATTACATGTATGTGTCAAGCTTTTATGGCTACACTCCATCTCAGTGCACACGTGATGTTGCCTGTCGTTAGTCGACCTGTTTTTTAATTAGTTCAGACCTTCCTACCTTTTTGCTTCCAAAGACCCTTACTTTGTAAAGGATCTCTTTTTGTAGCCAACAGTAGTAACCTGCAAATAAAATATAAATGCTCTGGCAGTTTCCTGTTTTTTACTTTCAGTGGTTTTACTGTACATTTACACATTTTATTCACAGGCACTGTCTTTTGCCACTGTGTCTTTTGTTCCAAGTGCTTCCTGCATTCATATTTTTATCCCTTTCCCCCTGTTATCTCAGTATTTGTATATTCTCTTTCCTTGTCTATCTTGTTCTCTGTTGCCTGTAGTTACTTGTAAAACATTCAAAATATTACCAAGTTGAGGAGGGGTGTAGTATCTGGGTTTTCATAAGTGCCGCACAAGATTTGCTATTTGAACAAAAGGCATTGGGCTGGTGATTAGAAGCAGTCTGGATGACTCTATTTGAAACTTAACATCAGTCCAGCCCCCTTGCTACCTTCTGGAGTGGGCTAGTGGTGTCAAGGCTGTTTTACAGATGGGAAGACTACAACAGTAAGAGGTAAAGTGACTTGGTTCCATTGGCAAAGACTAAATCTGCATCAGAACATGAACTTCCACGTCCTCAAGTTTTATTCAAGATGGGCTCGGCTCAGTCCTAGGGTGTGTGGGTGGCTCAACTGGTTAAGTGTCTGACTCCTGATTTCAGCTCAGGTCATGATCTCACAGTTCATGAGTTCGAGCCCCACACCGGGCACTGCGCTGACAGTGCAGAGCCTGCTTGGGATTCTCTCTCTCCTCTCTCTCTCTCTCTCTACCTCTACCCCACTTGCTCTCTCTCTCTCTCTCTCTCTCTCTCAAAAATAAATAGAGGCGCCTGGGTGGCTCAGTCAGTTGGGTGTATGACTTCAGCTCAGGTCATGATCTCACGCTCGGTTCATGGGTTCAAGCCCCGTGTTGGACTCTGTGCTGAGAGCTCAGAGCCTGGAGCCTGCTTTGGGTTCTGTGTCTCCCTCTCTTTCTGCCCCTCACCCACTCACACTCTGTCTCTCTCTCTCTCTCAAAAATAAATAAACATTAAAAATTTTTTTAATAAAAAAACTTTAAAAAAAAAAAAAAGGTGAGCTCAGTCCCCTCTGCTTAGTATCCACAAGGCCTGGTCATTTCCCTTTTTGTCCAAATGTCATGGGCATGATGACATAAATAAGAGAAGCTTGTAAGGGTCTGCTATTTCATGCCCCCCCAAAGTAGAAGACCATAGGTTCTTAGCTCTACAAACTGTAGGCTGTAGGTGGCAGATTTCTCAGAATGCCTCATTGAGTGATAAGGCAGGCACACACTGATGGATGTGATACTAACCTGCTGGAAGAGTGTCACGCTAGCCTGCCAAAGGCAGCAACCAGTGTGCTTGGGGAACTGGTAAGTTAGATCCTTAAGGGGCTGAGACAGTTTGTACAGTCATAAACTTCTGAGTCAAGGTGCCATTGGATATTTCCAGTAACTTTCAGATTTACTTCCCCTATTCCACCATTCCTGTTCCTACGTAATGTCTCTAATACATTAGGTGGTGGATAGGCTGGAAGGACCTAGCGTTGTAAGGTAACACTGATGTAGACCAGAGCCAGCTAGTCCTCACTCCATCCCCCAGACTTGAGG